TCGCTATAAATTTCATCCCTGTAAACTCAACCCCCTAGCGGGGCGTAGCGGGGCGGCTATTGCCCTTATTTTTTCAAATGGGAAGGGGTGTGTTGAGAATTACCTTTTTGAATGGCATTAATTCTCTAAAAAATGCCGCTTCGTTTTTTAAATCTGAGCTGCGCGCCGTCGTGAAATTGCGATTGAAAAATTGTAATTTGAGTAAAACTTCACAAGTTATCTTATTGAATGTTGAAAATGTCTGCCATTCACCTTCATACAATAGTACAACTCTTCAAAGTGTTCTCGGACATTGTAAAGAACATCTAGTGTAATTTGTTGGCATTCATTAGTAACGCGGTTCCGTAAATCTTCTAGGATCTTCTAGTCTTTTAATTTTTTAAAACGCAATTTCTCGACGCGCGTAGCTCAAATTATAAAAAACGAAGCGACATTTTTAAGAGAATTTAATGCCCTTCAAAAAGATATATCACAACGTACCCCTTCCCATTTGAAAAAATAAGGGCAATAGCCACCCACCAGGGATGAAATTAATAGTGAAACCTGTCGCCCTGAAAACGAAAGTCTATGGGTCCGAGGGTGTTTTTTAAATTTTTACGTACAAAGCCATAAACCTTGCTGGACTGTTTTCGATGGAACACCCTATATATTTTCCTGAGCAACTGAGCGTTGAGACAAGAAACCTTGTGATATTTGAGATACAGTGTTGAGAGAGGAGGCTTGATTTAGCTTCTCAAGCAAACTTTCAAAATTCAATTACAGCGAGCGCCAGTGTATACTTGGTTTCAGTTTCATCCTCTAAGGTTTCATCTAATAGCGATTTATCAACTTAACCAATTATAAATTTCGGTAATCCTTGTTTTATAGGATTTTCTTTCCTTTTCCAGTATACGCATGTTGAAAGAAAAAAGAGAAAAAGAGAATTTAATTTAATTTGAGATGTAATTATTCCCAACAATTTTTCGAAAACAGAAGAGATGCGCAACTTAGTTTATTATGGACCAACAAGCATAGGTTCAAAATTATTCGGAGAATTAATTAATATCTGAGAAAATACATTGATAGTTAGCTTGCAAACCCCGAAAAAAATGTCACGTATGAACGTCATTTATTTTTTTTGAGAAACCAAGGACAGTCAGAGAATATTGATTTTTACGTTGAAGTGTTACGACAGCTTGCTAGCACATGTGAATTTGAAAACTTACGAGACAGTTTAATTCGAGATAATTTTGGGTATTTTAGATACCCATGTGAAAAAAGACCTATTAAAAATTAAAAGATTAACTCTCGATAATGCGATTTCTGTGTGCAAACTCGCAGAAAGGACAAAAATTCAAATGGAATCTTTGACAAATGATGCGTCATTTATGTCACTAAATAAAGTAAGTCCTTGTGAAAATCCATCCACGTCAAATTATGACGGAAAAAGTGGTAATTTTTCTCGACAAAAATACAAAGTGCGCGAAAAAAGTGTGCAGAAGTACCGAGATCATAATCGTGATCGTAGCAAATCGTGTCAACGTCACCACAATAAGCGACAGAAAAAAGAAAATTTGTATGTGGAAATGAACATGGTTTGAACGAATGCCCCGCCTATTGAAGAAAATGTCAAAAATGTGAAAATTTCCATCATTTTGCCAAATTTTGCAGGTCTGTTAAGCAAATTACATCTAAAAATACAAATTTAGATTATTCTTCTTATTCGTCTTCCGAATACGATTCTGATTCTGATAATTCGAGTGATAATTATCGCATTGAATACATTGCAAAAATAAATTTAGTCCAAAATTCTGATTGGAATGCCTATTTGAAATTTGAAAATCAGGCTAGTATAAATTTCAAACTAGATTCAGGTGCTTAGATAAATGCCCTCCTACTAAATTTTTAAAATCTCTGGACTTACACAAGAATAATAAATAGGTAAACATAAAAAATGCGAAAATTCCTCTCAAAATACCCTAAACTCTCAAAATACCCTGAACTCACAAAATAATTTCGAAAAAATAAAAAATAAATTAGAAAAATATAAGAATTCCTGTAAAAATAAAAATATTAACTACCTATTCAAAAATTTCAGCAAAATACAAAGACGTTTTTGAAGGCTTAGGAACCCTTAAATGTCAAAAAGATCACATAAATATAGATTCTTCAGTAAGAGCCGTAATAAATGCACCCAGAAAAGTTCCGTTTGCTATGCAAGACAAATTAAAATCACTCCTAAAAGATCTTGAGAAAAAACAAATAATAGCAAAAGTAAATCAACCTACCGAGTGGGTCAATAGTTTGGTTTTAGTTGATAAACCTTTGGGTGATCTTCGCATTTGCATTGACCCTCAGACGTTAAAGCAATTATCCCTGCAAACTACCCCTTAACTTTAGTCGATGAAATAATGTTAAAACCCTCAAATGCAATTTTTTTCAAAACTCGACGCAATTCAAGCTTTTTGGCAAGTACCCTTGATACAGAAAGTTCGTTTAAATGCACTTTTAATTCACCCTTTGGCCGCTATCGTTTTCTGCGTACCATTGTCAAGGATGAATATTAAATTCCCATATTTAATGTAGATTTTAGCAAATAATTTTGGTTAGGCCCTTTAGGAATGGTGGTAAAATCCATATTTCTATAGTAGAGTCGAAATAAGTTGGCATGGCATAATAGGCAATAAAATATGCAAACCAATCGCAATTAGGAAAATCGCCCTAAAAATGTGAAAAGACGTACGTTTTTGTTGTCACATGTTTTACGTACAAAGCCATAAACCTTGCTGGACAAAAATTGATTAGACAACCATTTTGAGGATATTGAGGGCGTGACGTCATATATTGATGATTTTTTGAAACGGGGAAACGATAAAAATAAACATGATATACGTCTAAAACAAGTTCTTGATAGATGCCGTCAAACCTGAAATTAAACCTTTCTAAATGTGAATTTGGAGTAGAAAAAGTCATGTTTACAGGTCACATTTATTGTAATTATTAATTGTAAAACCATTGTTCCCTTATATTTTCGTATGTGTAATTATTTTAGCATTAAGTGTTGGTATAAGTTATCAATAAGACTTTTTATATTTTCACACCACTTTTGGTTTGCATCTAAATTCTTGTATTGATTTGTATTGAAAGGAAAAGTACTGGCTACGCCCGTAATAAAATATGAAAGGGTCTTGTCCGGGGATTCTAAAATCATGATTCGACATACGACTCGACATCGAGACGATTTTTCCGACGATTCTAGGTTAGAAATCTCATTGGAATTATACCTTTCGAGTAGGGCTCGGAATTTTTAAAATTCAAGTATTCGAATAGTCGTTTGGTATTTTATTCGAATAGCCGAATAATTCGAATAGTTGATTATTCGAATATTTAATCGAATAGTCGAATATTCGAATAGTCGAATATTCGAATAGTCGAGTATTCGAATAGTCGAATATTCGAATATTTAGTCAAAAAGTCGAATATTCGAATAGTCTAATTTTCCAATAGTCAAATATTTCGATAATCATTAATATTAGTTAGAATAGTTAGTTCGTACTTCGTCGTACTGTTAGTAGTGGTCTATTTTTAATTAAATACCAATATAACCGGAATAGTCGTTCAGGTAACTATTGAAAATCTAAACATTATTTTATTCAAATTTGTAATGTATAGGGTTTTTATTAAGTGGGCTGGCAGGTACTAGGTAAATAGTCCAATATTCAAATAGTCGAATATTCGAATAATGGAATAGTCGAATATTCGAATAGTCGAATATTCGAATAGTCGAATATTCGAATAGCCGAATTCGCTAACTAACAAAAAAGTCGAATTTAGAATAGTTGAATAGTCGAATATTCGAATTATTCGAATACAATTCCGAGCCCTACTTTCGAGACGACAAGGCCGGTATCGTTGTCGAGTCGTGTGTCGAATCGTGATTTTAGAATCTCGGCCTTGGTTTTGACAAAGGGCTGTGAGAGTTTAGTTTTTAAGCGACCGCTGAAAGGCAAAGCTAATAAAGTTATAAACGGATCTTTTCTTGTGTTTGCTTACAAATCAGAAGTGGGATTTTATACCTGCCCGTGTTTACGCGTATTTTTGTGTTTGGATTGTGTTTTTTTTTTCTAATATTGTTTTCCAAAATGGGAAAAACAAAAAGGAATAACGACTCCAAATCACAAAGGAAAAGAAAACGATCACCTAGCTCAAGTAGTTCGTGTAGTTCGAGTTCAAGTTCCAGTAGTGCTTCTTCGAGTTATGAAACAAAAAAACAATTAAAACGTTTAAAGAGGGAATTAAAAAAGTTAAAAAAAAAGACCTATTCATCCAGAAATTCGTGCGGGTGATGAACTGTTAGTGCCGGTATTTGATCCGTCTCGAGACGATGCAGTTATTGAAAATTGGTTAGCAAAAGTGGACCATTTGGCTGAAAGATATAGATGGGATGATGATACCATCATTCGATTAATTCCTGGACGACTGCGAGGCAACACTCGCCAATGGTATGATGAAAATATCAAATACGACTCTAGTTGGAGTGAGTTGAAAACTTCTATGAGCAACCAATTTCGTAAGTCAGTTCCATTTTCAAAATTACTAAAGGATTCAGCTAATTATGAAGCTAAGCCTGGACAAAATTTAGGCGACTATGGTTTCAATAAATTGTCTAAATTAAAGGCTTTGAATTTGAATATTCCAGATTCATATTTAGTTGATGCTGTTATAGGTGGTATAACTGACGAAAATATCGCTCGAGCTGTTAAGTCTGCACAGCATACAGATGCTAATGTTATGTATGCTTATTTAAATTCGATGGGTAATATGCCCTATAATAAAACACTTGATTCGAATAAGTTTAAATTCAAACCCAATCATTTAAGTTATAACTTTGACAATTCTCGAAATAGAGACTCAAGTAAATTTGTTAATAATAAACCTTTGTCCTGTTTCAATTGTGGTGTACCAGGACATATTTTCAAAGACTGTAAAAAACCTTAATTAGAATGCCACAATTGCAAAAGACTTGGCCATTACAAGAACAAATGTCCATTTCCTAAAAAAGAAGTGAATTTAATAAACACAGCAGTGACTGTGCCTGATAATGTTTTTGTTCAGACAGCTCGAGTTAATGGTAAGAAGTTAAAGTGTTTGGTAGACTCTGGTAGTTCAAATACACTGATTACAATGTCTGCTATTGAGAATCTTGAACTATTTTGTAATACGTCCGATGCTGTAACCTTATGTACTTTTATGAATACGTCTTTAGACAGTAACTTGTTTTGTAAAATAAACGTTTGTATTCAGGGCGTATCAGCTTGTGTAAATGCGATTGTTATTCCAGATGGACATTTGAAGTATGACTTGTTAGTTGGTAGAGATTTTATAAGTCAAAATCATATAATGATGATCAAAAAACAGCACAGGTTGATTTTTTTTTGTTTACCAACTTCGCAAAATTTTGAGGTGAATTTTGTTGACTTTTTTGACAATAATATTGACGTTAATTCCTTATGTTTTGGTGATATTTCTACGAATGCAAAAGAAAAATGTTTTGAATTATTATGTAGCTTTTCAGACTGTATATCTTCATCATTGCAAACTCTAGGCAAAACGGCATCGATGGAAATGGAAATTAAATGTATCACGGAAACACCTGTAGTAAGACATCCATATCGAATGCCAGTTTTTGAGAAAAAAGTTGTTCACGACATTATCAAAGAATTGCTTGATAACAATATAATTCGCGAATCCATTTCACCGTATGCCAGTCCTATCACATTAGTTAAAAAGAAGGATGGAGATTACAGAATGTGTATCGACTACAGACAGCTTAATTCAATAACCATAAAAAATCGATTTCCTCTCTGTAATATTGAAGACCAGATTGATAAGCTTGGAGGATATAAGTATTTTATAACTTTGGACTTAGCTTCAGGGTTTTATCAGATTCCAATGGCTGCTAACTCCATAGAGAAGACTGCATTCGTCACTCCAGATGGGCACTTCGAGTTTTTGCGAATGCCCTTTGGACTCTGTAACGCCCCTTCGGTTTTTCAGTCTCTAATTTATAAGGTGCTTGGCAGTTTCAAGGATGATTTTGCTTTTCCTTATATCGACGACATAATTATACCATCGTCCACGATTCAAGAAGGATTAGAACGCTTGGAAATGGTTCTTAAGAGATTTCGGGAACATAAGCTTACCTTAAAACTTAGTAAATGTGTATTTTTGGCAAAAAAAATTGAATATCTTGGACGAGAGATAAGTAGTGAAGGCGTAAAAGCAGGCACAAAGAAAGTGAATGCGTTGTTAGAAATGACCGCCCCGTGCAACGTGAAATAGATACGCCAATTTCTCGGACTAGCTAGCTATTTTCGGAAATTTATAAAAAGTTTTGCCATGATAGCTGAGCCATTAACGAAGCTTACTCGTAAGGGTGTTTGTTGGTCCTGGAATGCATCTCAAAACCAAGCATTTACGAAAATTAAGGAAGTTTTAACACTATCTCCGATTCTCGGCATATATAATCCAGAATTAAAAACAGAATTGCACACTGACGCAAGTTCAATTGGTGTCGGTGCAATGCTGCTTCAATTTAATGCAAAAGGAAAGTCACAGGTAATTTCTTATTTCAGCAAACAAACTACTCCCGATCAAAGACATTACCATTCGTACGAGTTAGAAACCATGGCGGTGGTTTATGCTCTAAAATATTTTCGAGTTTATCACATAGGCATAAGTTTTAAAGTGGTCACCGACTGCAATGCATTACGAACAACTTTAACAAGAAAGGATTTAATACCACGTATTGGAAGATGGTGGCTTGAAATTCAAGAATTTTCATTCGACATAGAATACAGGGCTGGAACTAAAATGGCTCACGTTGATGCCAATGACATCAAAACACAGATAGACGGATCATCCCATTCATAAACTATTATTTGTTGTGTTGACAAGACCACCCATGGGCCAGGGGAGGTGAGTTGCTCGCGGGGTCGGGGTAGGGAGACATCATTGCTCAAAATGGTGTAAAAAACCCCGCCCACACGTGAATATATCTCGAAATTTAATTGGATGAATAAATAAAATAACAAATTGACAAATAAACTGAAAATATTCGATACAAGCCCTTTATTCTGGGAGTACCAATATCGTGTTAGTCGTTTCTTGTTTAACGCTAATGAATAATCCCTGTTTGCAATAAAGATAGCTAGCTACTACAATCAACACCTGCCAGCCATTCAACCAGCCGCTTCTGGGCGGTGTTTTGCTATAATCTGCTGTTGCCAAATTGAGTTCAGAAATAAAATTGAAAATGTTAATTAGAGGAGAAAAATATATTATTTAGGGATTCAAGACAAAATTTGGCATTCTCATTGGTGGGGATAGCACAAAGACCCAAAAGAGACAGAGAGATGTTGTCATACGAAGATTTTGTTTATTGTTCGGTCTATCTGTGTTTTGATGTCATTGGTTGATGCCCTTAGTAGAAACCCGATCAAAAATAATGATTTTTCAGTTGAAGTCTTTCAAGTGGACTTGACAGAAAGTGATTGGATCACTTCGGCACAATTACAAGACGAACAGATTACTCGTATCAGACATAATATATTGGAAAATACAACTAAAAACAACGACACTAAGCAATATTTTAAAGAGTTCGAATTAAGGAAAAATAAGTTATATAAAAAACTCGATAACGGATCAAAAGTATGGGTTGTTCCTAAAGCAGCACGTATGCAAATATGTCGATTGTGCCACGATGATGCAGGACATTTGGCAGTAGAAAAAACTCTAGAACGGATTCGAGAAAATTACTGGTTCAGTAAAATGCGAAGATTTGTTTCTAAGTATGTCAACGCATGCCTAAATTGTATGTACTATAAACAAAAGTGTTTAATGCGACAGGGAAAATTGAATCCAATAGAAAAAGTCCCAATACCTTTTCATACGTTACATGTTGATCATGTTGGACCATTTGAAACTAGTAGAAAGGGGAATAAATTTATTTTTGTCATTGTTGATGGATTTACAAAATTTTTATTTGTAGAGCCGGTACGAAATCAGAAGACGAAACATGTTATAAAGGCACTCAATAACTTAATTTACATCTTCTGAGTACCTTCTAGGATCATTAGCGATAGGGGTTCCGCATTTACCGCTCGTACATTTAAATCCTTCTGCGATACTTATGGAATTAAACACGTATTGAATGCTGTCGCATCACCACGGAGTAACGGCCAGTGCGAGCGATATAATAAAACAATTGTTAGCGCTTTGGCCACAACTTGTGCCGGAGATGATACAAGAGATTGGGATAAAAAAGTGAAGCAAGTACAAAGTGCTTTAAATACCTGTTTTAATAAAGGTATCAATTCGACACCTATGAAAGCCCTCATGGGATGTAACCCAAAACATGCAGCAGAAGCAAAAATTTTAAATGCAGTGCAGGATGAAATTAATAGGGAAAATTTGAAAGAGCTAAGATCAAAGATTTCTGAACACATTACAAAGGATCAACAAAAACAGAAAGAGCGATTTGACAAAACTAGACGAGAAGCTTCAAGGCGAATTAGTAATGATAAGGATAACAAGCATAGCCTCTACTGGAAGTAGCCATAAACTTTTAGCTAAGTACAAGGGTCCTTTCCGTATTACAAAGAAGCTATTTAATGATAGATACGAAGTCGAAGATTTAAGGCAAGGCTTTAAGAATAGACGCACTGTAGTACCTGTGGAGCACATTAAGAAGTGGTTAATCATTCAAAATGATGAATGAATTTGAAAAAAGAAGGGCGAAAGTCGCCATGTTTATTGTTTTTGTAGGCGAAAGTCGCCATGTTTATTGTTTTTGTAGGCGAAAGTCGCTATGTTTTTTGTATTTGTAGGCGAAAGTCGCCATGTTTTTTGTATTTGTAGGCGAAAGTCGCCATGTTTTTTGGTTTTGTAGGCGAAAGTCGCCATGTTTTTTTGGTTTTGTAGGCGAAAGTCGCCATGTATTTTGATATGTATATATGTATATATGTTTTTTTTCAGAAGGCGAAAGTCGCCAAAGTTATGAGAAAAGTCCCCAAAGTTATGAGAAAAGTCGCCAAAGTTATGAGAAAGTCGCCAAAGTTATGAGAAAAGTCGCCAAAGTTATAAGAAAAGTCGCCAAAGTTATGAGAAAAATCGCCAAAGTTATGAGAAAAGTCGCCAAAGTTATGAGAAAAATCGCCAAAGTTATGAGAAGAAGTCGACAAAGTTATGAGAAAAAGGCGCCAAAGTAATGAGAAATTTTCAGGCGGAAGACGCCAATGATTTTTTGTGGTAAGCGAAAGTTGCGATTGTGTTTTTTTTTTAGCAGGCAAAAGTTGCCATAAAAAAAAAAAAATTATACATGTTTCTAGAAGGAAAAGTTGCAAAGGGTGCTTGTATATTGTATATCGTATAATAATAATTGCTATTTAGTTTGTTTTGTATTGTTTTCAGGTATAGGTAATAAAGTAGTCACAATTTATTCATTTTCAGTGTTATGTTATTAGGGTTAAAATATAGCTAGGTATATTTTTGTTTGCTTTTCGTTGCTTTATTGATGCCCAAATTATTCTTACGTTATAAGCTAGTTAAATCCAATATGTTTGATTTGATGTTATACTTTATTGAATCAATTGTTATGGAAAACCAGCAAGTACCAACTATGTTTTTATAGGTACATATTATAGCTGGGTCTGAGGGTAGACCCTTCTGGTCAGGATGGCCGAATGTTGTAATTATTAATTGTAAAACTACTGTTCCCTTATATTTTCGTATGTGTAATTATTTTAGCATTAAGTGTTGGTATAAGTTATCAATAAGACTTTTTATATTTTCACACCACTTTTGGTTTGCATCTAAATTCTTGTATTGATTTGTATTGAAAGGAAAACTACTGGCTACGCCCGTAATAAAATATGAAAGGGTCTTGGTTTTGACAAAGGGCTGTGAGAGTTTAGTTTTTAAGCGACCGCTGAAAGGCAAAGCTAATAAAGTTATAAACGGATCTTTTCTTGTGTTTTCTTACACATTTTTCAAAAACTGGCGTAGAGCCTGATGAATCAAAAATCCTAGCTTTAAAAAATTTTAAAACACCTGAAAATAAAAAAGATGGGGAAAGATTTCTCGGCATAATAACCTACGTATCAGAATCCATTAAAAACATGTCATTTGATTTATTTTTTCTTGCTTAAAAAAAAGGGGAAGTCATGACATTGATTTATATATTGATATATTTGAATGTTTAATGACTCGCCTTGATTTGTACCGTACCTACCACATACGTGTTGTTGTTATTATAGTCTCTACTCTTTGATACACAAAATATATTTTAGTTTAATACTGGAATTTGAGGGTTTCACTTGACCCAAAACACAACAATGATTAGAAAGATTTTTTTGATCGGTTTAGATTATCACCAAGAAGAAAAGTGGAAAGAATAAGTGAAGAAATTACGGATTATTTCCATATTCCTTTGAAAAGGTAATTTTTGTAATAATTTGTCAATCTTGAAAAATTTATCTGCTATTTATTCACTGAAATCGAAAAGTCTAAAAATTCTGCTGACAACCTAATCTAATTTTTACAGTCTCCCAAATAAGTAGTGCAAATTGATATATGTAATTATAAATAGTAGGTAATTATTATTAGCTTTGGTGCGGTATTTAGGTCAAAATTTAAAATATTTTTTGTAAGAATAGGTACTAGGGTGTACCCTCTTTATAGATAAAGCTTCGAAATTACACCAAAGAGATAAAAAAACTAAATTCAACCCTAATATCAAAGTCTATTGGAAATTGGAATAAATACATATCTACTTCTAAAAAAATCTTTGTAACACCACCAAACTTTTTTCTGGATTACTCTTTGGAACGTTAATAATAATAAAATACCAAAATAACGAGTGTGCGACGGGGTTGAAGAGGGTAGATTCAACCCCAAATATAAGAGAAAAATATTAACTTCTGAAAAAAATTTTGCTACACCACCAAACTTTTTTTTAAATAACCATTGGGACGTAAGTAATAATAAAATTCCAAAATAACGAGTGTACGACGGGGTTGAATCTAAGAAACATAATAATATGCGAAAATCATATGTATAGGAAGAGGCTGAGAATGGTAAATTCAACCCTTAAAACTGGAAAAATGATAGCTCATTTGAAAAATTTTGCTACACTTTCAAATTTTGCCAAAAAATTGTTGAGGGCCATCTAAGAAATATGTGTAAAAATCACATGTCTAGGAAGAGGCTGAGAAGGGTTAATTCAACCCTTAAAACTGGAAAAATGATAGCTCATTTGAAAAATTTTGCTACACTTTCAAATTTTGCCAGAAAATTGTTGAGGGCCATCTAAGAAATATTTGTGAAAATCACATGTCTAGAAAGAGGCTGAGAAGGGTTAATTCAACCCTTGAAACTGGAAAAAGAATGAACTATAAGGTCATCCTTTAAAAAATTTTACGTCCCAAAGAACATTTTTAAAAAAGTTTGCTGGTGTACCAAAATTTTTTTCAGAAGTTAGTATCTTTCTCCTATCTTTGGGGTTGAATGTACCCCCTTCAACCCCGTCGCACACTCGTTATTTTGGGATTTTATTACTATTCACCTCCCAAATAATATTTTTAAAAAAGTCTGGTGAAGTAGCAAAGTTTTTTTCAGAAGTTAGTACCTTTCTGCTATCTATCCCCTTTAACCTCGTCGCACACTCGTTATTTTGGTATTTTATTAATATTAACGTTCCAAAGAGTATTTAAAAAAAAAGTTTGGTGGTGATACAAAGATTTTTTAAGAAGTATGTATCTATTCCAATTTCCAATAGGCTTTGATATTAGGGTTGAATTTAGTTTTTCTATCCTCTCGGTGGAATTTCAAAGTTTTATCTATAAAGAGGGTACACCCTAGTTATAATGAATTAAAATTGCGCATTATGCATGAGGAGTTGGCTAAACCTACTTTAAGAACTTTAACTTCAAAGTACAAATCTAAAAAACTGCAATTAACTCACCCAATTGCTGCATTACCATAATGTCCTTGCACTTTTATTTCTAGCACGCGCGTCAAGACATGTATGTTTCAGGCTTCACCGCTACTAACGTAATGTGGTCTACAGTCTTGAAAATCAAACGCGCAATGGACTGGCCACCGCCCACATATATTCTCCCTCGCGATGGTGTTCCATCTCGACCGCACAATGGCTCTCGCTTTATGTCGTGTGCGTATCTCAGAGGCGACGTAATTTATTTCAGTATCCGGCTTGAAAGACCATTTATAGACCGAGAGATGTGTGATCACAATCAGGTGTACAGGGTATTTGATTATATTTGGACCCATACCTACAGCCTTTACTATTTAAGATAGAAAAAAAAATTAAATACAAAACTTGACAGTTTTTTTCTATATTTTCTTTTAAAGGTATCAGAAAAAACAAAATAGCGCGGGAAAATGGAGAAACGTAGGCAACTTCAACTTTTTTTAATAGAACACCCTGTAAATTATGCGATAAAATGAAAGATCTTTTCTTTCTGATTCTAACTATACAGGGTGTTCCTGAATATCATGTACAAACGGAAGGGGACGATTCTTTGGTCTATTTTATGACTAAAATTTTTAATAAACATAGGTCCGCAAACGCTTCGTTACCGATCTACAGGTGTTGAAATTTCAATGTATTCATATTGGAAATGAGCAAGAATATGGCGGCGAGGGGTGTCCTAATCCTAGATTCCTATTGAAAATTAGCAAGAATGTGGCTGCGGGACCTCTATCGTCATCACTGTAGGTAGAAAAGTATTATTGAGTCACTTTAGTTTCATCTAGCTAATTACCGAGATTTGTTTTTTAATTTTTTTCTCGATCAAGGTCGGTGATACGAAAAAACTACAAGAGAACAAAAAGTTTCTAAATAAGGTAGAAAAATTATTTTGTTTCTTAGAATCGACCAGCGGCGCACCGCGAAAAAGTTCAAGGGCAGAAAAGGGGTCATCACCCCTAAAAAGCCATAAAGAAAAAACTTTAAAAAAAAATTAAAATTTCAACACCCTGTAGATCGGCAATGAAGCATTTGCGGACCTATGTTTATTAGAAATTTTAGTCATAAAATAAACCAAAGAACTACCCTCTTTCGGTTGTACATGATATTTAGGAACACCCTGTATATATATATATATATATATATATATATATATATATATATATATATATACATATTTTTTGCATTTGATGGCACCCACATAACCCATGTTCAATCTGACACCCAAACTTTTATCCATATATAATTAAAGGTGTCACATGTTGCTATATTGGCATCCATGCAGCTTGTGTCTACATGGCACCAAAATGTATGAACTTGCGATGCTCGATGTCAAACGGACCCCCTGCAGCGTTGCCCATACATTCAACCGTTTAATACATATAAAACAAAATTGTCAAATGGTTCGTGTATTGGCACCCTCGTTAATCTTGATACAAATGACACCAGAATGTATGAACTTGTGATAATACTAGTCAAACTGACACCATCGCATTCAACATTACCGGTCATTTTTCGAAATAATGTCCCGCATCTCTAAAAAATCGCGCCAAATACAGAATTCGAAAAATTGGAATATGACAATAAGAAAATTGAAAAATTGACGACCAAATTGCAATTTATTGGGAGATGTTCAAAATAAACTTCAGGATTTGGTTTTTGCAAAAACAGTGAAATCAATAGATTCCCTTGAATTCACTTGTATTCTAGAGGAAAAATTGTTTCTAGCATTTGATGAGAAAGATAATTATTGAAAAATAAAAACTACAATACTCGGCGGAGATTTAATTTAAAAAAACTTGCTTTTTGAAACGTTTATTAAATCAAAAATATAAAAGAAAAGTAAAAATATTCCCTTGATCGAATGGTTTATAAAATTAAAAAATTTTGAATAGTTTAAAACCTATCACCATAATTTCAAGAAGCTAGAAGTAGGGATTGAAAAAATACTTTCAAACCCTAGGGATTAAGTTGTATTAAAAAATACATACATATTATAATAGTCGTGATTATACGTCGCGTCAAAAAAACTTCCAGTGTAATCACGCCTAGGGTGCCCAGATATTTTCCCGGATTTTTTTTTAAGTTGTCAGTAGAACACAGTGCATAAAAAACTTCCGAAAATTTGTGAATTTTTTGTTTTGACAACCAACTTTTTATAAAAGCATGAGTGAAATCAAATGAAAAAATCCCGAACTCGTAAGAAGAGGGTTTTTTTCTGAT